GGCTCCAATTCTGAGAAGATTTGGTGCATTGTTTGAGGTCGCAGGATGTCGGATTGATTTCGAAGCTTTTGTATTGACTCCGGGCTCCTGAATGAAGCTGTCATGTGTGTCTGTGGTTGGCTAGCAGGCTGTCCGGCTGCAAGCTGTGCCTTCCTTTGTTGTTTAGGCCTCATTGAGCTGAGGGAAGAGGCTCATTTCAGGGTGATTTACCACCACCCAAACACCAGCTGTCTGTTGTACTCCTGCTTGCCTCCACCTTGGATTCAGCTTCCCCCTTCTCCTCTCCCACTCTACAGTGTCCCTCTGTGGACACTTGGGCTTGATTTCTTCAAGACTTGTGTGTCACCCCTGCAGAACAGCATAAAAACCATAAATACTGGTTATACTGTTCACTCAATGTTTTTTTAAGCTCCACCAGCCCCCTCCCCCCCCCCCCCCCCCCTTTATTTTTTATTCCCAGGGTTCACCATTGTGGTGCTATACAATTTCTTTTCTTGGTCAAAGAATGAACTGTGTCTGTAGGAAAGAAATACATGATAAAACCATCACGTTCTCCCATGCTTTTTACTTAGTGGTCTAAAAAAAATGGTAGTGGTTTCAGTTAAAAGTAGCTGTGAGTCTCAGCAGCATGGCAACAGGTTGAATTGTTCACCTTTCTTCTGCAGGATATCAGGATATGCTTACCTGCATGCTCATTCCTTAGCAGGGTATTTCGAAACTGGAAAGATGGGGAGAGCATGAGACATTTGAAAGCCAAGGTCAGATCTGGGACTTTCCAAGGAGAAATGGAATCTATCCCCAGGTCTACGTCCCAACATGAGTACGCATCAGGAAAGCAAGAAGCAAAATAGTATGTATGCTTGACCCTGTCTGATGAAGGTACAGAGTACCTGGACTTTCAAAGGAGGTGCTCTGCAGCTGCTGGCACTGTCCCACTTTTGGCAGTGTTCACAGCTTTGTTGCTCAGAGGTCTTTGGAAGTGTGAGGGAAATACTGTGCCAGTGCCTTGGGGGTGAGGGCATTGCCAGTATTTTCAGTGGCTGCTGCTCAAACATGAGGAATGCTAATGAGAGTTGAATAGATTAATGCCTAGAAATACATGGTAGTGGCAGCACGGTGAGTGGCACAGAGTTGCTGATCCAGGCCACCCATTGTGCTGCTGTCTCTGGCCACAGATTTGGAAGAGCAGAAGGAAGACCTTAACACAGCTTGTGTTAGACTGGGGTGTGTAAAAACCTGCTTTGAGTGAGTGCCATCCCCTCAGAAGGGTCAACTTTGGATGTTTGTGCAATAGGGTGAGGAGCCCATGAGCTCCTGAATGAAATAGTGCTCATCATCTGTGAGCAACAGAATGGCTGCATGAAGCTCGGTGACCAAATTTTTCTTCTCATTTATTTCCCCCCCCTCCCTGCTTCAATGACACTCTAGAATCCTCCCATGAATCCCAGCCAGCTCTCCCCTAGCACAGAGCCTGGCGGCTCAGCAGAGGCCTGCCAATGCCATGTGCGTCATGTCTGACTCTTCTAAATGGGGCTGGCAGCTCTGAGCATGGCAATGATGCTGGTGTTTGCCACAGCCTTGGGGACAGCCCCGGCAGCAGGGATTTGTGTGCTCTCTGGATCTGCTGGAGCGAAGGTAGTTGTAACTGGCCCTCATTTGACTTCTGGGTGACATGGTTCAGTGTTTCTTGACCACAGGTTTCTAAAACTAGCGACCAGTTGCCCATGAAGCTGAGATAATCAATCCTGTTATAATAATTATTATTTTTCTCTCTCTTTTTTTTTCTTTTTTTTTCTTTTTTTTTTTTTCTGCAAACTTTGGCTAACTGCCAGAGCTCACAGTGTGTTGAAGTTGGTGAACCTGGTGGGACTCACCAAGTGACAGGGATATAACAAGTAGAATCACGAGACACTTTTGCTTTCCTCTTCTGTGCTCACTACGGAACCTTCTTGCTCCTTGCCTTGGGAAGGGGAAATCTGGAGATGTGTGGGAGCCAGCAGAAGCCAAAGCAAGCTCCTCCACCGGAAATGATTGCACCTACCTGCTTCTAAGCCACAGCATCACACCAAAGGCAAGAAGCACAAGAACACTTAATATTAATACATCTGTCAGTTTCCAAGATCACAGTGCTCCTCCCCAGATCTGTTATTAAAAGGCTATGAAACATGGAATGAGGTTTTGTAAATTAAGAGCGAATGTCTGTAGCACCATCAAGTCAAAGCTCTTTTCCTTCCCCTGCAAACATCAGGAGCGCAGGACTGTCCTGCTGGATGGAGCAGAGAGGGGTAGATTAGGAGGCAACAACCATGGCAGGATAGACCCGGTGAGGTGTTTTAATTTCTTAACAAAATCCTTGGGCACTACAAACTGTAAACTAACACAGAAATAAACAAACAAAAACTTGCTGACCCTTAGCACCCTGGAGGGTTCTGTTTCAGATCGCTGAATAAAAGCTGAAGTTGCATATGCATGTTTAATATAACACAAGGCACGTGCTGCGGCAAGCATGCTTTCTTCTAATCTGGTTCCAGACAGAAGCATCCAAACAGAAGCCCCTTTCCCTATCCCCACTGAACTGCCTGGTGTATGTGAGGAAACCCCTGAATGACAAGGCCTCCATCTGCTCTTAAACAGAGTTGCGACTGGCTGCAAATGTTGTCCATATGCTTTTTTTTTTTTTTCCCTCCTTTGCCTTTCAACTTGGCTGTCTAATGTTAGATACCTATTCCCAAATTAAATGTCAGTTCATAAAAAAGCTTTCCTAAAAAGGTGAAAGCATTAGCTAATTCAGGTGATGCCCATTAAGAAAGGTACATCAGCAGGAAATGGAAGGAGATAAGGTTATTCAAGCAGCATATTGTTTCTGTTTACTTTTTAAAAGGAATGGAATAGCCTTTGCATTCTTGCATTATCAAGGAAAAAAATGCTATCAAGTTTTGGGTTAATATCTTCCTTCTGTTCTTGACTGTCCACGTGATTATGGTTTGCCATCATTTCTGTGTTATTTCCAGCCTTACAGAAGAACACTGATGTAGCTTGCTATGAGGTTGTTTGTCAGGGACTGCGTCCTATAAGCCAGAGAAAGATGTAAAAATTCAACTTTTTCCTTGGTTTTTGGTGTTCAAATGCGGAGCTTCTTATCTTGTAGTAATGGCTTTCTGTGTGCACTGAAATAAAGTGACCAACCACAAGTGATGTGTGAATCCAGTTGCCTAAACAAAGGTGTGTTACTGCTATAGGCACCCTGAGATGTCTTGCCCTGTTAGAAATCTGTTAGAAATCTGTTAGAAATATGGGCTCTCCATGAGGCCCTCTTGTATCTATAACTTGCCTTATGTACTTTTGGTATCTAGAAGGTCGCCTTTGCTTAGGAATATGATCATCTCTTTGTGCTCTCATTTCTTTGTGCTCTCTTTTCCAACATAATAGCTTAATGCAATTACTTTACTTTTTAGTTTAATCATTTCTTTCTGGGGAATACTTTTTGAAGATATTACAGATTGAATTACTGAAGTTGTAGATATGACCTTTACCGTGCCCCCTGTTTCAGTGTCTCTTTTGCAGAGAGAAGGTGGAAAAATAATTTTTGCACATTATTGGGTCTTCCTGAGACTGGTGAGATGCTGGGGTCACCAAGAGAGACACCTGGCCACTTGCAAGCTCTTCCAAGGTGACCTGAAGTTTATTGGCCTGTTTGTAATTCCTGCCACCAAGGGTCAGCTCTCTGCTGTGCCCAGACAGTGAGCGATGGCTGCAATTCCTTTTAATCATTCCCTTTCTCTTCCTCATCATTTAGTTTAGAGCACTTCCACTTGGTTAAACTCATCAACTGCTTTAATGTTGTGGTATTCTTTTCAAACAAATACATCCAGATGAAATCTTATGATTCTCCATGGCTACATATGAGAAGATTTTTTCACCCTCTTGCTTAGCTGATGCTGAGAGTATTTGTTTTCCAGATGCAGACAGTGAAAGTTTTTGGAAAGAAAAAGAAAAAAAAAAATAGGCCAAGTGTGAGTCTATGGGAAAGTATATAAATATTATGTGTTCATGGGATCTCAATTGTGTTTTTGTTTGAACTTAATCAGCATTGTGACCAAATCTAGAATACCAACCCCTTTCTGCCATGGGGATTTGTGAAGATTTGGAGATTATCATGTTCTGATAAAAAAAAAAAAACTTTGATAAAGAACAAAAGTGATTCAAATGATCCCTAGAAAAAAACTAGGTTAACATGAGAATTCTGTTGCTCAGTCAACCTAAGGGGTTGTCAATCAAAAGGAGTTGGCTGAACTCAGCTTAAAACTGCTATGTAGGCAAATGAAAGGTGAGGAAATTGTTCCTCTGGAAATCTCCATTGGACCCAGCACGCTATTTCTGTGCTGTGCTATTGCTATTCAGTGTTTATGCTAGCGGACTGTGGTGTTGGGTGAGGTTGGTCTGTTGAAGTCCTGGCAAGGATTTGGTATTAGTTATATGGACTAGCTGTCTGAATGTGGGTAAGTTATGCCTGTAGGCCTGTATTTTGTGGAATCTAGTTATGCTAAATTCAAATTAGTACAATTTGTTAATGGTGAATGTGAGTGCTGACATAGGATCTGTACCTCAAGTCACTCCTGGCAATTGTGCTTCATGAGGGCGATGGATTTGTTCCTACCCATGTATGTGTATGAAAATCTCCAGGTTGAAATAGCACTGTGTTGAAATAACCTGTTCTTTTTCACTTTGGTTTGTTCATATTCCTGCTGTTATTTTTCCAAACACTGTGTTTTCCTTGTGCCCCTGTGTGACTTCACTGATGAGGTAATGATGGTCCCTGGAGAAGTCTCCTTAGTAAGCTTGGAAGCTATTTCTTTATGGAAGAGTGTCTCAAAGCAATGAAAAATGAGTCCACAGGTTTCCCTAATACCTTCTCTTTCCCCGTCTCTTGTCTTAAATACAAATAACTCAATCTTTGATTTCAGGTTGTGATGGTATTTTTCTTGCCTTTTCTCTTATAGGGAAAAGTCATTGGAGATGCAAAACTGCTCATGAGCTGTGGTTGCAGAAAAGGGAAAAATGCTCAAATGAAAGACTCAGATCAGGTCAGTCGATATGTACTTTTACTGGAGAAGAAATAAGAGAATGTGTTAATCTTCGATTGATTTAAACTGTGCAGCTACATAGCAGGGTTCCTGGACACAAATAGAATATTTTTCATGGCCAACAGTGATACCACATTAATGTTTTTGCTTTTGTTATTTGTTGAAAACACTTTCAAGCAAGATTAGGGATTTATTGCACTGAGAGTGGGAATGCCCCAGCCTGACTTACTCCCATCTGGCTTATTTACTCATGAATTCTGGTTTTTCTTAATAATCCACTCCAGGCAGTGTTTTCTTAAAGGCTATTACTCTTCCTTGTTGGCTAAATGCACGCAACCTTTACTCTCTTAACAGTAGCTGCCTGGATATGCAGTCATTAAAAAGAAATGTGCTATTTTCCTCATGATTTTGTTCTAAAGTGACACCAGTAGAACATTCCTTAATAAGATTAGACGTGATAAACATGTAAAAACTTGTTCACAGACTGAAAACTGGTGGCCAGGTTTTAATATCCATTACTCAGATTGAATGGACTCATTCTAAAATTGGTCAAATTGACTTCAGTGGGACTACTTGTAGGATCCAGCAAATGCAGAGAAGGGGGAATGTGCTCTGAATGACAGAAGACAGTTTATTCCTACCATTTTGCACTTAATCTGACCAGCTGAGTTCGTTCCTGCAAAAATTTTTGATTGATGTTGCCTTCTGTCCTTCTAACTAGAAATGTCTGAATCCAGTGATCATTTGTTCCAAAGATGAAGTGGAATCTGGCTTGAGTAGAAGTGTTTTAATAGATTGTGGGTTATCCAATATTCACTGCAGTGGAGAGAAGCCATTGATCTGAAATATGAAACAACTGGCTGATTGCTGCGTAGTGCAGCTTGTGAACACCTGTGTTCAGGTACACATCTGAAGCAGATTCAGTGTGAAGAAAAACTCTGGGAGCTCCAGATGAATTGTCTTTAGCAGAGGGATTGAGTACTTAAGAGGAAAACAATTTCATTTTCAAGATGCATGTTCATCAACCTAATTAATAACAATATTGTGGAGCTTTCCAGAGAAGATCTGAGAACAGATCTGTCTGTGTACTGTGGTGGGCTGTGTTGGGAGGTACATTGTTCTCACAAGTGCTTTGTAGGATTGAGTCTTTTTTTTTTTTTTTTTTAAATAATATTGTTAAATAACAAAATCATAGCTCTGCACTATACTATCATTTTGTGATTGAGACGAGGATTTATACGACTTCTTGAAGAATAACTTCTATTCTCACAAATACAAGCTTAATTTTCTCATGTGGAAGTTCTATCACATCAAGAGAAAAATATAATTGAAACACTTCAGTGAATTTTACTCTTATATTTTGATATACAAAAGTAGCTCTTGATTTACCACAAGGATGTAGCAGAGTCAAACCTCTTGCAGTGGAAATTAAAAATGGAGAGGGAACATCTTGATTGCAGAGGAGCAATTTACAAAACATCATTTCTAACAAACTCTATGTTGGACATAAAATACATTAATCACAATACTTAAAATGTAGAGAGTGCAATAGCTTTTGGTAGGAAACAAACAATCCAGACAGTTAAATGCTTTATGGGACAGCAACAAATTAGTCCTTATCCCTGGTTAGTTTCTGAAGTCTAATTTTTGATGTCTAGTGCTGTGTTGAGCACCTCAGGATTTATTTTCTTTTCTTTTTTTTTTTTTTTTTTTTCTTCTTCTGTAACAGCATAAATTTTGGGGCAAGCATTAGATTCAGTTTGGAAAGTGCATCTGTTGTGCTTCTGTCAGGATGCTGACAGGATTTCAGGGGACAGGAGGTAGATAGGGAAGAAGTTCATGCAGGAGGGTGGGTGGCAGGGTGGAACATTTGTCTGTGAATGCAGGACCTCAACTCAGCTTATAAATTATCCCTTGGGCCTTGTAAGTAAAAGCAGACTTCTATGGTGACATTGGCTGGGAAAGGCAAACACTTGCTGACAATTGTAGGCTAATCCTTCAGGACACTAATTGCCAGAAAACCAAAGAAGCATTATTTTAGAAACAGCTTGTTTCACTTTGTGAAGGGGAAAAACACTGCATTGGATTAAGTTCTGTTTGCTGAGGTCTTTTCCTCCCCGCACTCAGTCTCAGAATTTAAAGATGTACCTTTATTACTGATGCTAGGGACTTTTCTTTTCTTCTTCTTTTTTTTTTTTTTTTTTGGTCTTTCTTTGCATTTCCTATTAATGCCATCGTAACTCTGTGAAAATGCAATTTTTTTCATCTGCTTGAGTGTAAGCAAAAATAGTTATATGGTTTTAATATCATAACCCATATAGAGGTTTGGGACAAGCCACCTACATTCTGGCAGAATTTTTTGCAGAAAAAGCAAGCAAACAAAAAAACAATGCTTTATATATATATATATATATATATATATATATATATATATATATATATATATATATATGTATGTATATTTATCACACTTTGGAATCTTTTGAAAGGTCACAGACATGCTACTCCACCACTGAAAATCTTTAGTTTGACCAAGATGTGACTCCATTGCTGCAGATTTAATGTACTGGTATTTTTCCAACATTTCTCTGGAAGGCAGGACACCTTTACCTTTTCAAAACGTAGACTGCTTTTCTGTCTCAAGGCCCCTGTCTCTATGGTGTTTTCCATGATGCAAATTGCCAATGGATTAATCTTGACCCTCTCACTGTTGAGTACAGAGGTCCAAACAGACTCTCATAAGGATGAGACTTCATAACAGTCACAAGGAAACCAACTGTCATGTTAAATTTTCGCTTGAGCTGGAGAGGGACCTGTGGTTTATATTTTATGGCCTAAATCAAACCTACATGCTGAGGGAAAAGGCTAAGCATTTCGGGTTGAACCCTACAAAGTATGTGATAACTTCCAAGGAAGTACAGCTGGGTATACTTGTCATCCTCCATCTTCATTCTGTGCCATGGACGGTCTTGAAGCTTTGGGTTGATAGAGTGGGGTTACTGAGAGCAGTCTCGAAATAGAGCCATTTCTTGGCAGCAAAGCCTCAGCGCCCTTGGCTGCCACTGGCACCACTTCTAGTTGTTTGTGTGCTCTGTGGGAGTGAAACTCATCTGTGCTCCAAGGCCAAGACCAAATCTCTGCACCACAAACATCCTACAGTAATTGTAAGGTTCATATAAGCTCTTCAGGGTGATTATTAGTTTCCCAGTAATTTATGCCTCTCTATAAATTATTATAGTATTGCTTATTACTTGAGGAGCATTATTGCATAAGAATGGCAATCCTGGGTTAGAATTTCCTTGTGCTAAATGGTATATTAACATAAAGCAAGAAAAATGGTTCCTGGTGAGTGATTTCAGCTGTTTTATATGTTCTGAGGAAGAAAAATGTCATGACAGGGAAATCGTGTGGGATGACAAATAGCATGTGTATTAAGGGCATGCGTAAGGTTGAGAACCAGAAGTAGCAAAGAGCTCCTTGCTCTCAATAAATACAGCTCTGCCTGTTGGGTTTTAGTTTTATTTGTTTTTCTCTGCTTCACCCAAAAGATAGACTCTTCATCATAACTCTTAGTCTTTGATTTTTGTTTTTGTTATCATTTTTTCTGGTGGCTCACGTGAGTTCAAGTGTTACTGCAAACTCAGGCCCTGTATGTCTTTCCATGTGTTTGTTTTTAGTTTTAATACGACAAATGTATACCTTTTCTGGAAAAAGTATCCATGCTGCAAAGTAATTATTTACTGAATGGTAGATCCAGTTCATGTTGGCAAGGATCAGATTAATCATTATTAATCATGACCTCTCTGACAGTAACCTCATCCCTTGCCTAAGTGCTGTTCTTTATTAAGAAGTAATAGCAATTAAGGGATGGTTGGGCCACTGCTCTCATTGCACCAGCACAGAGCTGGGGACTTCGGGCAGAAAACAGAGGAACTGTTTATTAACTGTTTATTGTATTAGAGTATTGAAACTAATATCTTCCCAACTGCCTGTTCCCCAAAATTTACTTTAGGTTTTAAAATCAGGCAAAATTCTTTAGAAGAGAGCAAAGAAATAACATTTTATATCTCTCTCTTTGATACGTACAGGGTAGCAGTGGTGACATGGAGCAAACATGCCATATTCTTTTGATCTCTACCAAAGTTGTTCTGGTTGTATCATTGTTTAATGTTTGGAGGAATTTACTGAAAAATAAAAATAACAGCAAAGACAAAGTGTCTAGTACAAATTACCTAATAAACCTAACCAAAATTTTATGTAGTAAGGGCTACTGGTAATTTCCCACCTTAAAAAACATGGAGGGAGCTTGACAGGAGGAGAGAAGGGTAAAAAGTATACAAATAAACCCACTTCTTTAAATAGCTGACTGGCCTGACCTGAACTGTGTTGGAGCTAAGTTCCTTTGGCAGCTGGTGCTGCAATGTCTGTTGAGGGCATAGCAGAGGGCTGAGACCAGATTTCAGGAATCTGCCTTAGCTTCATCTGCCTTGCATTCTTCCATTTGTCAGCGAGAAATGTACTGAAGCATGAAGTGAGGGAGTGCAAAGGCTTCTGCAGCCACACTCCATCTGAGTAAGTCTGGATAACACACCCCCATGTTTAATGTTTCTTACTGCTGAAAGAAATCAGAGAAATAAAAATAAATGAAAGCATTGGCTAACTGTTGGAAAAACACAGGTGGAAGAAAGCAGAAAGAGAGAATTGGGGGAGTGAATATATTCCTGCATCTGCTGCTTGTGGCAGAGATTTAATCTCAGCATGAAAAATCATTGGATTTGGCGTGGGTTATAAAGTGATAAAACAAGAAGTAAAATACAAAGAGGACATGAATTGTCTGAGGTTCCCCAGCAGTAAAGCGCTCTTAAACATATTTCACTCACTGAATGAAACAGGACAGGTAATCATATAGGGAACACAGGACCATAGGGAACTTCCATGGTCATCCAGTCCCTGAGATCTTCAAGAAGCAATTTATGGGTAACGGTACTGATAAACACGTC